GAACAGACATCTATTCTAAGTGTGGGTTTGCCTTTCTTGTCTATCACCACTATCCAAAGGCTTATGGAATCCCTGACTTACACACATGGGATCCCACAGAGCATAGCATCTGTTACACAGACGTACCTGGGGTTTGCTTTAATCAGGAATGGTCAGACGCACGGACACAGAAATCTTTGTCATGAAGGAGGAAGTTTACACCACAGGTCTCCAGAAACAAGAGACGCAGCACACTATGTAAGACCACATGGGGCACCAGCAGTTGGCATAATGGCTATGTCACTGAACTCCCATGTAGTCGACTGTGGTTCAAGTCCCGGACCCAGTGGCTTAAACTCACACCATGCATGTGTGCGTGCGTGCCCAAGATCCCAAGAGGAAAGTGGAGAGAGAAGGGATTGTGGTATGGCCATCCCCTCCTAGGGGGTGATTTCTCACTTTCTGTCTCCCTGTCTCTGTCTTTGTGGCATGTGCACGCGCCCTATAGCAAAAACTTCTCCCAAAAAATAGGGAGGCAAGGACAGAGCTCGGCCTAGAGCTTTGGTTGGGGTTCCCATGAAGAGGAATGGACAAGGCAGGGCGGTGATGCTGAGTAGTTTAGGACTGGATCTTTCGAAGTCGCAACAGGCTCTGGACAATAAGGAGTGATCCCAAGGTGCTCAGAACCTGGCCCTCGGTGATTTAAAGCAACAGGAACATTGAGCTGGTATTTGAGAACTTGACGAAGGGAACAGAGGCGGTTTGGACTCCAGATGAGCTGGTTTCTTATCAAACTGAAACCGAATGTTACTGCCTGTTGCATGTGAATGAAACGCTTGTCAATCCTCTTTTTTAACTGAGAGGACTAAGAACCTATTTGCCAAATTAGGGGCTGTAAACATTGAACCTCAGATTTATCTGCTCCAGCAAATACTCTGTGTCTGGCAGAAAAGCTACCGACGGGAGCTGTCACTTCCAAGGGTTTGCTGTGGGTCAGATACGTTCTCCAGAACCCATCCAGCTGCTGCAGAGGCCAGGTGATTTTTAGTGGAAATATGACAGGGGCCACCATCCCTGCATCCTTCACAGACTTAAGCATGGCATCATTCCCGGTTTTCCCCAGGATAATGCCGATTCTGTTTTTTATTTACTATTCCAGCTGCATGTGGGTGAGCTTCAGATGCCACATTTGGCCTTCAGCTCACAGGCCCAAGGTTACTCTGCAGGCCGAGGTTCCTATGTGGAGGTTACACACCACCGAGCATGTCTCTCAATTACACGGCCACCAGATGGGCTCAGGAGCACAGTGACTCCTTGCCAGCTGGGTCCTTGGACAGAACTCCCTACGCCCTGCTCTATCGGGACACCATGACAATGCTTCAGACCTCTGCATCAAAACACCAGCTCAGACCCTGGATCCAGCAGCCCTTGAAATGCCCAGGATTATGTTTTCCCCACAGTACAATTACCATATAAACGCAGGTCCCTTTAGGGAGCACTGGGGGGATTGCTGAAGTCCATATTTGCCATGGCATCGCAGTCCTTTCCTGGGCCAGCCACCTCTTCAGTCAATAGTTTCAGGTCTGAAAACGGACTCAGAACTAGACCCCAAGCAAAATGTCACACTGACCCAGGGCTGTTACTGGGATGACCTCCCTCAGTTTTCTGCTCCCTCCACCAGTTACAGTTCTGTTTTCTGTAATTACAATTACCCATGGTCAATTGCAGTCCAAAAAAAAAAAAAAAAAAATATATATATATATACACACACACATATATGAAATCTACCAGAGGACATGAAAGTCCACCAGAAAGAGACAGAGAAAGGGAGGATGAGGAAGTAACCCCAACGCAGTGTGGTCACACCATGACCCTGCTCCTCCATTTCTCCATCCTTTTGGGATTTGGAGCACACACATGCTCCCAGAATGTTTTTTCAAGCCACTGGGTCCATAACTCAAACCATAGTTGGCTGTGGGGTTTGGTTCCCTTAGCCACTAGGCAACAGGGCTGGCCCTGTTTATATACTCTCAAACATTTTTGGAAAGCTTATAAATATGAGGTTGGCCAGTTGCTCCTCATGGACAAAGTAGTGAAAGAAAAGCTGGCTCAAGGACCCCAAGTGCCCCTGAAGGGCCTCGTCCTGTGGCCAGCTGTTGCAGCACCAGCTGAGCGCTCAGCCAGGCCGGTGTCCGCTATCAAAGTGACGGCGTCGAGTGGGGAGAATGCGATCCCGTAAATCGGGATGCGGTGTGTGGGAAGACCCTGGTGAAGCTGGGGACGCTGAGCTCCTAATTATTTTATTGAATATTTTAATTGTCATATAATAGCTGCACATATTTATGGGGTACAGTGTGGCTTTTCAAAGCATAAGTTCAATTCGTTATGATCAAATTATATCCGCCATCTCCAGCACTTATCACTACTCTGTGTTCTGAACATTCAAAGTCCTTTCAACCAGCTATTTTTAAATATACAGGGACCAGCAGTTGGCATAATGGCTATGTCACTGAACTCCCACATAGTCGACCGTGGTTCGAATCCCGGACCTAGTGGCTTAAACTCACGCCGGGCGCATGTATGTGTGTGCCCAAGATCCCAAGAGGAGAATGGAAGAGAAGGGATTGTAGTGTGGCCAACCCCCCTGGGGGCTAATTTCTCACTTTCTGTCTTTCTGATAAGCACACATGCCCTATAGCAAAAACCTCTCCAATGGGACCAGCAGTTAGCATAATGGCTATGTCACTGGACTCCCACGTAGTCGACCGTGGTTCACGTCCCGGACCCGGTGGCCAAGATCCCGAGAGGAGAATGAAGGAGAAGGGATTGCGGCATGACCATCCCCCCTGGGGGGTGATTTCTCGCTTTCTGTCTCTCTGTCTCTCTCTGTCTGTCTGGCGAGCGCACGC